GGTAATAGTTCCAATGCCGCTAAACCAAAAAAAAAAAAAAAAAACAAATTGTAATTTTCAAAAAAACCGGTTTACTACAATAAAACCCGGTTCTAAACCCGAATACCCGGTTTTTAAAACGCCACTAAATAGTTCCGGAATTCATTATAAAGCCCAACAAGTTTCTTTCAATGTACTTTCTAGTAGAAAAATCGATTTATTATAATAAAACCCGGTTTGAAAACCGAATAACCGGTTTAATTAACCACCAAAAAAAATCATTAAAAAAGGTAAAATGGCAAATGAGAAAATAAAAACATTTCAATGTAGTTATTATCGTATGAAACCGGTTCCTAGTCCGAATAACCGTAATATAAAAATGGATTTATTATAACAAACCCCGTTTTAAAAGCCGAATAACCCGTTTCATAAGTCACAAAAAAATCATTCAAAATGGGGAAAATATCAAATGAGAAAATAAAAACATTTCATAGTAATTATTATAATAAAAACCGGTTCTAAACCCGGTTCTAAACCCGGTCCTAAACCTAAATACCCGATTTCTAAAGCCACTAAATTGTTCCCAAATTCATTGTAAAACACAACAATTCACAACGCGGTACTTTCTAGTGGAAAGACCTATTTATTATAACAAAACCCGGTTTTAAAACCGAATAACCGGTTTCATAAAACAGCAAAAAAACATTCAAAACTGGTGAAATATCAAATGAGAAAATAAAAACATTTCAATGTAGTTATTATCATGTGAAACCGGTTCCCGGCCCGAATAACCGGTTTCTAAAGCCACTAAATTGTTCGCAAATTCATTGTTAAGCACAACAATTAACAACGCGGTACTTTCTAGTAGAAATAGCTATTTATTACAACAAAACCCGGTTTAAAAACCGAATAACCAGTTTCATAAATCACAAAAAAATTATCCAAAATAGGTAAAATGGCAAGTGAGAAAATAAAAAAATTTAATTGTAGTTATAATAATAAAAAACCGGTTATAAACCCGAATAACCGGTTTCTAAAGCCACAAAATTGCTCTCAAATTCATTGAAAAACACAGCAATTTACAATGCGGTACTTTCTAGCAGAACAATCGATTAATTATAACGAAACCCGGTTGAAAACCCCGAATAACCGATTTCATATATCACAAAAAAAATCATTCAAAAAAAGATAAAATATCAAATGAGAAAATATAAACATTTCACTGCGATTATTATAATATAAAACCGGTTCCTAACCCGAATATCCGGTTAAAAAGGCCAATTAATTGTTCCCAAATTCATTGTAGAGCTCAACAATATGCAACAAAAGTTCTTTACAAAAGAAACATCTATCTATTACAACAAAACCGATTTTAAAATCCGAATAATCGATTTCATTAATCACGAAAAATTTAATAAAAACTGGAAAAATAGCCAATGGGGAAATAAAACATTTCACTAAAATCGGGTTATTTATTTAAAAAAAATAAATACGAAAAAGTTTGAATTACAGTACAAAACCGGTTCCTAACCCGAATAACCGGTTACAAAAGCCAATAAATTATACCCAAATTAATTGTAAAGCACAACAATATACAACACAGTTCTTTACAAAATAAAAATCTACCTATTACATCAAACCCCGGTTTAAACCCCGAATAACCAATTTCATAAATCTCGAAAAATTTAATTAATTAATTAAAATTTAAAAGTGAGAATGGCAAATGAAAAGTTAAAACATTTCGTTGTAATTATTATAATAAAAAACCGGTTCCAAACAAATTTCGGTTCAAAGACTCGCAAAAAACACAAACATTAAAAAATCCGACTTCAAACCCGAATAAGCGTTTTCTGAAACCAAGAAAAATTGTTCCCAAAATCATTGAAATTACAAAAAATAAAAAAATGTATTTTATTATAACAAAATCCGGTTTTGAAATTGAATAGTCGATATGGAAAATTGTCCCCAACAAATTAAAAGGTAAAAAAATAAAATAAAAGATTTTTTAGCTTAAACCCGGTTTCAAATCCTACGAAAATTTATTCAGAAAGACTAAAACTAAAAAAAGCTTTAATGGAACAAAAATTAAAAAAAAATATATTTATCAAACCGGTTTCAAACCCGAATAACCGGTTTCAAACCCGAATAACCGGTTTCAAACAATTTACAATTGTTAAAGCCCACAATTTTACAATAAGTTTCTTTGTTAAGAAAAACAGCGGTAATAGAAACATCGGCTATTACAATAAAAATCTGTTCTTAAAACCGAATAACCAATTTCAATAATTACGACAAATTTTCCAGGGTTTTTATAACATTAAATAGGTTCATTATATTAAAAACCGGTTACAAAAACCTGAAAAACCAAATAAACATGAAAAGAACAGAAAAAATTAAATTGGGTTCTTTATTTATAAAAAAAAAAATCCGAATGCGGTTCTAAAGAATATAGAAAATTATAAAAAAAAATCCGGTTCCAAAACGTATAACCGCTTTTCAGAATTCACAAAAAGTAGTTCTCAAAACATTTTTTTTTTTAATTTGAGAACCAAGTCTTTATTATAACCAAAAAATAAAATAAAAAGGGCAAACATTTGATCCGGTAAAAATTTAAAAAAGGTTCTTTATACCAATCACTTGCTCCATCATTATAAAAAACCGGATACGACTTCGCCACTATAAAAAATAAAATTCCGGCTTTTTAAAGAAAGCCTCGATGTATTCTAATAAAAATCCGGCTCCAAAATCAAAAAACAAAAAAAAACTATATATTTTTTTTTCTTTATAAAAAATAGATTTATTATAAAAAACAGGATTAAAAACCATATAATCGATTTGAAAAAAAAAAGAAACCAGTTGTAATTAAATTATTTTTGAAAAAAAAAATTGAAATTGAAATTTTATAATCGGTCTGTTCTAGAGCCAGCAAAAATCTACTAGTTTTGCCAATTTTGTCGTAGTAAAAAATTTTTCATTCTTACAGTTGTGGAGCAGAACAATATCCAAAACCAGCGAGATTGTTCTAGTTCTGCTGCTTTTTTTCGATATCATAAAGGAAAAGTCAGTTTTCGTAGTAAAAAGTTTTACATTCTGCTGTTCTGAAACAGAGCAATAATAACATTAAAGAAATCGTCTGAAATGCGATCAACCGACTTCAAAAAATCCTAAAATTTTAAATATTGAAAATAGTTAGAAAAAGATTCATGATTATAGAAATCGGATCGAAATGGATTGTTTCCTAAAATATATTCTCCAACGTCGTCTTATATCCACTCAATGAGGACAAATTTTTTCAGGATTCCTACGCATATAATCCAAAACAAACCGTCGAGAAGGGAGGATCTAGTTTTAGTAAACATATCTAGTTTTAGTAAAAATATTGAAATGTGCGGAATTTGAAAAAATCGATTTTATATTTTCGCATTTTATTTGAGTTATTCAAAATTTTGTCACTTTGTTGGAGATGTGCCGGAAAGAGTGGGCAGATATTTTCCAATTTTTTTTTTGCGATAAATATTACGATTTGTGAAGTTTCAGCCAAACCAGATACCTAAATCGCCTTGATTTTTTCTTTTTTTTGAATTTTTTTGTTGTTTTTTGTTCGGCTTGAGGCCAGAATTAAAAAAAAAAAACAATAGATTTTATTTTATATTTTTACATTTTTTTTTTAATTTTTATAGTTTGTGGAGAGATACGAAAAAGATTGGGCCAAAACATCCCAAATATTGCGATTTTTGTGGTACCAAAGATATACCCATATAGGTTTGCCAGACCGAAGACCGTTAAAAAATCAAATTTATTTCACCTCTTCATTTCTTCCTATTTGTCCCATTGATTACTTTCCAAAGACACCCAACCCATTGTGCCAGTGAACAATGAGGATGCATGGTCGGACGGCTGGATGTATGGATGGATGCAACAAGTAGGAACACAAAAACGCAACTCATCCGTGCATCGACGGAAAGTCAACACAGCAGCCTTTGGGCTAGCAACGCTACGCTACGTACATACAAACAAACAAACATATCCAGTCAGCCAACAACATAAAAAGACAAATAGTAACATTACAACAATAAGAACAACAATAACAAAGAACGAACTGCAAACAAATAAACCTGGCTAACAACAACAAGGAAAAAATCGAAAAAAAAACTAAAGAAAAAACCCTTGCGGCAGTTGAGAGAGCCGAAGATGAGCCAAGTTCTAAAAATATCAACGCAGCAAGCCAGGAATGGGTGCCACAGGCCAAGACAGGCTTGAATGTTGGTTGGGTCTGTGGTGGTCTGGAGTGGGGATGGAGATGGTGGTGGGGTTTTGGACTAGAATTCGTTGTTTTGTGTTTGTCTGTCCAGCCGAAAATGGGTTCCCTAATCTTGTTGTTGCGGCTGGCTGGCTGTTCGGTTCGGTTGGTTGGTGGGGGGTTATTTGTTTGATATGTTGGTATGATATGGCATGGATCGTCGCTGCTTTGGGTTTGATTTTGTTGCTTCTTTCGTTTCGTTTCATTTCATTTTTTTTTGGTATTTATTTTCTTTTTCTCTTCTCCCCCCCCCCCCCCCACACCTCTCAAACTCTCTGGATGGGACCCTGGCTTAGAGTTTGTTTTTGTTGTTGCTTTGTGTTTTTTTTTCTCTCTCTCTGTTATATACCAACATGTTTGTTGGTGTTATTTACACACGTAGTCACAAACACACACATAGAGCCAGGGAATTACTATTTCTTTTGTTAGCCAAGACCTAAGACGACTTCTTGGCCTTCTTCGTTTGTTCTTACCACCAACGACTGTTGCCCCGACTCTGGCTCTGGCTCTGGGTGTGTAGGAATGTGTGTGGTGTGTGGCACATCTTTCTTTGGCGCTGTGGCCGCTGCTGCCATTGTTTGTTGTTTCTTGGTGTGTGTTCAAGCCTTGTTCTTGTTCTTCTTCTTCGTGCTTCTTCTTCTTCTTTATTTATTACTCATTTGCTTTGTGGCCGAAGAAGGCGAGTCTTGGCTAAGAATTCCTTTTAAGCTTACAGCATATCCCAAATTCAGGCATTCGCGATCGAGAATTTGAAACGGCAACAAGTCGCGCTCTCCCAGACCACGAAAATCAAAGGAAATACCAAATAAGAATTTCTGTCAATATCAAGAAACAGCAACAACAACAACAGCAAATAGAAAATAATATCCCATAAAAATAGCTACATTATATACCACATAACTATACCTATATACCAGCAGTGAACAGTGTATGAGTGTGTGTGAGACTTTGTGCCCCAGGAGACCAACACTGTGTTGACTTTTATTTTTAACAAAAAAATAAAAAATTCGAAAAAAAAACTTGTGTGTGTGTGCTCGACTTTAAGCCTTGCTTTGCTTTGTCTGTGTGTGTGTGTGGAGCAACGCGCCTAGAAGTAGAGACGGCCGTTACCAAAGTTTGTTAGCTTAACGACACGGCTTGTCAGTTCAAATCGAGACGCCGTTAGTAAAACACTGTGAATATTCTCAAAGATTCTTCCACGGATTCCGGTGAAATTCCCAAGACCATAATTCAAAAAAAAAAAAATTTTTTTTTTTTGAAAAAAAGCACATCACACATCTCAAAATGAATAAAATCTTAATTTGTTTGTTAAGTTTAGCGGTGCTATCTGCAGGTGAGTAGGTGTAAAATAATTGGAATTGAAAAAATATTTAAAATTTATTAAAAAAAATAAATAAACTAAATTTAATTTAAAAAAAAAATATTAAAAAAAATAAAAATAGGATTGAAGAGCTCGAAAAAATGTGCCAAAAAATTAAAAAAAAATCAAAAATCATAAAAGTAAAAATAAAAAAATTCTTTCTTTTTTTTATTATTCCACAAAAATTAAGATTATTATTTAATATTTCCAAAAGAACAGACGAAAATTTTAAATTAAATTGAAGAAAAAAATTAAATCTAACAATTTTCAAGTATCCCATAAAATATTAAATTATTTTTTTTTTAAATTTCTACAAAATTTGTTGCAGGCCGTTCACATTCGGCGCAAAAAGGCAACAAATATATGGGGCCGGGTTTTTTGGCAAAACCTGTCCACAACCACCGCAGAAATTATCCCAATTCTGTTGGTAGTGCATCCCATAATTGGTCCTCAAATGGATTTGCTCAGTTTTCTTGGGTTTTTAGTGAGGATGGTGAGGATGCTTCGAGATTTCAATTTGCTTGTAATTTCTGCGGGGTGTGTAGTCTGGGTGGCGATGGGATCAAAATGCCGGAAATGGTTTGATAGGGTTCGCTACGTACGAAATTAGGCTCGAACAGGGTTGAGTTAAAGAGTATTATAAAGGTAGTGAATGACAGGGTGACTCAGGCTAAGAAGTGACTAGGCAGCCCTATGATTGCTGAGTAGGTGGGAACCTACTACTACTCCGGGGTGAGCTGAAATGAGAATTCACAATAGAATAAAAAATGGCTATTGACAGTTGAAAAGAAAAAGGAATGAAAATTGAAAATGGCTCAGGAAAATGGTGTTTCGTGGAAAATGAGCGTCTGGCGGGATTCACTGAGAAGAGGGGTATAAAAGGCTGCGAGCATAAGAAAAGCCAAAGTTAAGAATAAGACGTTACCGGTGAAACTTAGCTAGAGAGCAGTGAAGAAGTGGAAAAATTTAATTTGTGTGTTGCGATTTTTTTATTGTGTAAGTAGTTTGTAACAGTGGTTTGTTGAGTAATGTGTTGTTATATGTGATGTGTGTTGCTCCAACAGGAATATTCCGGTGGTGTATCAAGCTTTTTTGGAAGCACCGAAAATTGTCCGGTTTTGGTCAGCACAACGGCGGGAAATTGCCTTTTCTTTTTGGTAACGCAAGGTAGTGGCAAGTTGTCCACAGGAGAAAAAAGCCAAAAAAAGTTACATTGAGGGTGTGGAGATTTGAATTGTAAACTGGCCAGCTGCAACTTTGAGCTTTTTGCTGTGCCTGTTATTGATCCCGCCCAGAACGCCGGCATTGTAAAAGGACCAGTCAACAAGTCCAGCTTCATTTCAGGGTTTGCCTGGCGTTCAAAATCTGTTTCCTCCGGAAAGAAGCGTAAACTGGAAGAAGAGATAAGAAGAATTAATCAATAACGTTATAAATCACTGCTCAGGTAAAAGGTGTCTTACCGTTGTGTTGTCCTTGATAGATATATTTATATATATATGTGACGTCCATAAAATTTGCTGTCTCCTTTTTTGGAACTAAAAGAAAAGAAAAAAAGAGTTAATAATCATAAATTTCGAGAAAAAAAATATAATATTCAGTATAAAGATTTAGTAATAAGATAGGTTATAGTTCTTAGGATTTAAGTAATAATCAGTTTGTAAGGGAAAAATACCGCGTTTATTTTTAAAGGCTAGGAGGTGTTACAGTAAAATTATCTTGAGTCCTTGTGATTCGATCTGATAGTTTAGGCCGTGGAATTTTAGCGGCAATTAGGCCGGTTAAGAGAGCTCTTTTAGGTGGCTAGTAATTTCGTATAGACGCGGAATATTGCGCGGGAAAAGCAAGGCAAAGGATAATATATTGGTTTCTACCGAGTAATTAAAGCCATAGATTTAAGAAAGCCCGGTATTATTCTTAATTTGTTTTTTTTTATACCATACAGTTTGTCAATTTTAGTGTAAGAAAAAAAAATAGTAGAGAAAAAAATTAAGAAAATATTTAAAGCTAACTTATTTTTTTTAATAAAATTAAAAATGATTCTTTTGTAAACAGTAGATACTAATATGTGTTGCTAAGTTTGTATAGCTTGGGGGGAAGGTGGTATGAAGTAAGTGTGTGATTCGAAGCGTGTGGCTCAAGGGGATTCAGAGAAACGCAAGAAATGGAAATACTGGATCCAGGTAGGGTGGGCGAGTGTGGGATCGATCCACCGAGATCCCTGTATGATGACTCCTATTTTGTATATCGTAGAGTAGAGCAATTGTAGTAAAGTCCCCTTTCAATGTTAGTGTGTTGGATTCGATTGGCGGGTTGAGATCCCTAGCCCTGGGAGTCTCTGTGACAGTCGGATGGCCTAATCGTATGCCGAGCATATGCACACATAACAGAGATGGCGCCCAACATTCTAAAATAAAGCTTTATTGTACCTGATACCACTGTCAAAAATGGCGACTCAAACATGGCCGTGTTAAACTGTGATATTAGGTTAGTAACTCTGTGCAGTAACATCGACGCACACAGCCATAGAATGCTAGTAGATTTTAAATAGACAAAAGAAAATGTTTTTGACAAATAATATTCTGTGATATTAGTATGCATCCGAACTTTAGAGAGATGGGTTACGAAGTGCGATATTACTATATCAAATATATTATGGGAACGTTTTCTCCACTGTTCTAAGTAGGGTGTAATCAATAGCTTGTAATTCCGAGCTGGAATAAAACAATTTGTATTGAGAATCCTACTGTTAAAATTTGTTTTTGTGAAATAACCCAAATAAATTATAGACAGGAATAAGTACATCGAGTAGCAGCAATAGCGATTTTGATCTGAGAGATGCAAAAATCTTAGTATTGCATATAAAAACCCTGAGCTTTCATTTATGAAATGTAATAGATATGTCAGGGGTCCGAAGTTAACAAAGCACTATAATTTATTAGAAGAATAAGAATGTCTAAGGGAAGAGTCATACACCTCATAAAGGGCACTAAAATTATTAAAAAAAAATAATAATAATAATAAAAAAATAAATAAATAAAAAAAAACCACACACACACTGCTTCTGAAAATTACACTTCCCCCGTAGATCTATGTTGTAATTATCAAATTTGAAAATTTGTATGTGTAATTGTAATTGAATGTATTTATAAAAAGTATTTGTGTTGCAAATGTTTCATATTTAAAAAAAAAAAGGTTAACTGAATTTAAAACTTACTTACAAGAAAAGGTTTCGTCCGAGATTCAATTGATAACAAATGAGAAGATAAATTTTGGGTATAGGTCATGATCTACAATACCCGCAATAGTAAAAGAAATAAGAGAGACAGACCCGAAAATTTTGACCTAAACCGATCGACTTATTTTCCAGAGCAGAGTAAGCAAAGACGAATAGGGTCGGACGAAATGGCGAATGAGGATAGGAACATGAGTGCTTTGCAATTTATCGATCTAGCAGACACGATAATGCGAAGAGATCAGAACACCAATCATGTGCCAACAGTGAGTGATAATTTGAATAATAATGGTCCAACTACTTCCGACCTACATGGACTAGTACAAGATGAAGCAGCGTCTGTCCAGAAGTCATTGGAAGATAAAGTTAAAAAAATGGTCGAAACAGAAATATCTGATGTGAAGAAAATGATAGATTCTTTATCAAAAGGCATGAGAGAACTATCCGACACTGTGCGTAAACAATTAATTGTACCCCCAACGGCTACAATAGCCTCTAATTCTATTACAAATAGTAATGCTAATCCGACGTCAAACAATAATAATGACGCAGTAAATAGGAATATGCCACCAATTATCCAATTTCCGAGTGCTAGTCAAACTCCATTATCAGATCAATTTACTGGCCCGATAACGAATACGTTTAGAGTGGAACCACTAGGAATACGAGTTGATAAACTTGGTTTAAATTTCAGTGGTGACCCGAAAGGCTTAAGAGTTATGGATTTTATTAAGCGGTTAGAGATCATGCAGGCTCAATATAACATTCCATGGTCTGAAGTGTTGAGGGATTTCGCCTTTCTGGTTTCTGGTCAAGCCAGAGAATGGTATTGGCTGCATAGACAAAGTAATGTTTACACCGATTGGGTGGGTCTTAAAGAAGCGCTGATAAGCCAGTATCAAACCCCACAATCCAAATTCGACATACTCAGGGATTTGTTAGAAAGGAAACAAAGGCCAAATGAAAGCATCAATAGTTATTTTCACGAGATGGGAATTTTGCGATCTAGATTACTTCAACCTATTTACGAGTACGAAATGATTAAGATCCTAAGGGGAAATATACGTGAAGATATAAAACGACATGTATATCAGATGACCATTTCGTCGGTTGAACAGCTACGAATAGAATGTATTGAAGCCGAGAGAAATTTCCCTAGGCGCGAAAATAGAGCTGTAACGTTCCCCCAGCGACCTATCCGCCAAGTAAATGAAATATATGATGAAATTTATGAAAAGCCTGTAGAAGTACCGGAGGAGAATATTGGTGAAGAGCTGTCAGCTATCCGGATACAAAGCCAAATTAGAGTCCCAATGATCTGCTGGAACTGTCGAGAAAAGGGGCATGTTTTTATGGACTGTCCAGTAGAAGTCCGGAAATTGTTCTGCTATAGGTGTGGGAAGCCGGACACAGTAACCCCAAAGTGTCCTGTCTGTCAACAGGGAAACTCCCGAAGGGGTGTGGAAGTAACAGGGGAAACACACCCGTCAGAGAACCCTGTGAATCGGAAGAATTAGCACCCAAAAACGTCCGAATTTTAATAAAAAACAACGATAATATATTTAGAGATAAGAGTAGTGTAGAATCGAAAAATTTTTCTGCAGGTCAGAGGCATTACATTCCATTAGAAAATCGCCAAAGAAATTATGCTAAGGTCAAGGAGAGAATTTTTAACTCAGAGTTTACTGTAATCCCGAAAAAAATTATTGAATTGAGACAAAAATCCAAGAAGTGGCGTGAG